ACCCAAACGTCGAAATAATAAACTAGTGATCCGTCCAACGTGATCTTGATCTTCGTCCGTCCTACCGTCATACACGTATTTTCTCCAATTCCAACGCACTCTTGAGTTTGACTGTCGTCGATCACGCATCCTACCTTACGAGCAAAGGTAGTATCGAGGATCGACACTTCAGCGCCAGAATCGAACAGCATCGTAGCTTTCTCGTTGTTAATCTTGCCCACCGCTTTAGCTTGATTGAACCATTTCCCGGGAGTGTGGTATTTCCAATATCCGCGCGATTCTCCTGGCGCAAGGTCGGGCTCCATCCTCACAGGCGATCAAGCGTAATCATCCACTCTTTTTACACTTGACACTGACGAGACCCTTTGTTAAATCTTTATGTATATTAGCGATCGGATCGATCCGATCATTAACCTCTTGATCTCTCCTTGGTCCTTCCACAAATGCATGAATGTAAAGCCTAGAACGCTCGGCTCGTGCCAGATTCCAACCTGGCGAGCGTCCTAGTTTATCATCTCCTCCGCCTTCGGTGGAAACATCCCAGCATGCTTCGTAGGCACGTACCACTTTCGGATCAAATTGAAGAATTCTTCCATGGGGCACTTGCCACTCTCGTGTATCTCCCCGCAGGCTGCACACACAAAGAAACATTTGTCAGAAGGGTGTCCCTTGCGCCCACACTTCTGGCACGTCAATCGCTTCCAACACCCTCGATCATCGTGTCTGGTAGATCCACAATGGGTGCACTCCTTCGATCGTCCACTTTGGTCGCGTCCCTCTCCTTCGCCAGTGTTTTTCTGCCAGGTGCGATGATCCTTGTTTGGTATTTCTGGGTCGGGTGTAGTTGTCACACAAACGCGACGACGATCCACTTCCTCTTCGGATCCGATCGACTCCGATTCCGATCCGCTGCTTTCGACTTTTTCGCGTATCGATCGCATCACCCGAGTCGTCTTGGACGCCATTGGGTTAGTAGGTGCGATCGCTCGCTGGTGGAATTTGTTTGATCCCATCGTCGATTTTATCTGACGATTCTCCATTCGTTGGCATGCACGGAGAGTGTCTTCCATCTCATCAATATCCCTCAATCTCAGCAAAGTCAGCTGTTTCGCCAAATCACGGTCGTCCAGCGTAGCGATGAAATGTTCCACACGTTCGCGACGCGTGGCTGCCGTAGCCAGTCTTTCTTCTTTAATCGCGATCTTGGCAAGCTTGGCCGCGACATTAAGACGATGGTAGGTACTCCAACGGGGTTTCACCAGATCGCTTCCTTGCGAGATAATACTGTCTGGCCACTGACACACCTTGCCCTCCATATTGTATCATAAAACAATCTAGCAATCGCTTTCACTTGTGTCGTGTAGATCGGCTTAATTGATTGTACCAGTTACGAGCAGGTCCCGTCAACAGATCGCTAAAAACCAAACACTTTTCTACATCTGGTGCCTGATCGCGTAGGAATGCAGACTTGACTTTGCTGATCCAACTTCTGGCTCGATCTTCGTCTCGATCCTTGCCGCTGAATTCCTCCAGCTCTGTCATCGTGGATACTCGAATGCGTTGAGGGATACTATCACCGTTTTGAAACGTCTCTGTGGTGGATACCATAGCACGTCGCCGCTCTTCTTGGCCCGAATCGTCGGGATCGGCATCGTCGAAATCGAAATGGTTAGATCGACTGCGATGCGATCGCACCGATTCCATCTCAACATCTGGGATATACACTTCTTGGACTCTTGCCGGATTGATTCTTTGGCTTGGGTAGACTGCTTGATACGCTTGTTCTCGTTGATCTTGATGAAAACGTTCCATGGCCTCCTTCAGGTATGTTTGTAGGTGCCCTTGCATAGCTGACGTCATCTCTTCTTTAGCGCATGCGATCGCCGATCGCGGTTCGCACTTGATCGCATCGACCTGATCACGCAAATGTGCCGCACCACTTGGGCCGAGAGACATTCGCTGAATACCGATCGAATCATCCGATTCCATTTCAGACTCAGCTGAGGCGTACTGCGACGATCCAGTATGATATCCTCTCGGGGTATCGGCGATCGCAGCGGCTGCTTGATCGTTGGGTTCGCACTTACCCGTTAGGGGAGCCAACTTGTTATATAGCGATCGACACGTGTGAATCACCTGATCTTGATCGCACTCCAACAGTTTGTTCGCATCGAACACTTCAGCGACGTATATAGCGTCATGTAGTAGCTGAATGATCGCATTGATCCCGTCCAACGGGTTCGTCGTCACCTTCGGCGGGGAAATCGGACCTTGAATTTCTCCGATCAGCCTGGGCTTCAATATCTGCAGCACTGGATCGCTCGATAGCAGATTCTTGAGTGCCTTCCAGTGATATCCCTGTGCCAATTAGTCCCAGTTCCAGTCTTCCATCTTCATGTCATCATCAATGAGCTTGATTGGTCGAATGATCGATTTCATTTCGCGATCAGTTCGATCTGATCGTGCTCTCTTTTTCTTCACTCGATCTGTCTTCACAATCTTCTTCTCTGACTTCGCTTGAGTGGTCTTGTTTAGTTTTTGTTCAGTTTTCGCTGAAGGGTTTCACCCAGCGGATTGTGCCTTGCAGCACGATCCGCGGTGGTCCTAGAAGGGACCTCAGGAGGGTGTCGAGGTTTCTCTTCCAGATCGATCGCTCGATCTTCCTCTTTAATCTTCTTGTCATCAGAGCCCCTACCAAAACTCTGACGATCTGGGGATCTTTTATCATCACGCGTCTGCGGCGATCCCTCTTCCTCATACGCTTCCATTCCAGGTTCAATTTTGACCTTCTCATCTTCGCTCAGGGACTCACGGTGAAATCCCGAGTCGCCAGAAGATCCGGGCACGCGCACCATTGTGGTGGAGCGGCGATCGCTCATTTTATGAGGCGATCTCGACTCTCCACTGGTGCCCAGACGACCGACTATCGGAGGGGGTACTCCGTTTCCGTGTCTTGTATTTCCTTCCTCACCTTGTGTACCCGTCGGTAGGGCGGGCTGCACTCTTCTCGGTGGACTCGCTTCGAGAGAAAACTTGACCGTGTTTGGAATGGGGTTTGTGATCGGGCGGAAATCTTCACGCGATCACGGTAGTACTTGTAGGCTACTTGATGTAAGCCACTTAGATCTCTAAGAGATCGCCTTGTCCAATATGTTGTTGCTTGATGCGAGCCTTCTGACCACTTGAGCCGTCTCGCGAACTTGCGCCTTGTCCTTTGCATTCTAGCTGCGTCCGATCGCAGTTGGGGTTGTTTTGAGAGTTCTTGATCCCCAGCCAATTATCTGGGGATATCACTTGATTAAAGTATACGAAACTTTCTTGAAGTCGGGAGGCCAATATTCCAGCCCGGAAGAGAAGTTGACACGTGTACTTAGAAGTAAAAGAATTCTGTTTAATGTCCACCAACCAAAATCTAAAAACTGCGAGTATGCCTGTCTGTATGCCAGGATATGCCGCCATGTGTCTTCTACCTTTCGTTGATCGTCCTTTAGCATATGTGGTCCACACCCTGATCGCTCGTCGATCACCTTGGCCGCTCGCTGATCTTCCCAATCGTCGATCACTTGACCGATCGCTGATCATCCAGATCGTCGATCACTTTGGTCGATCACCTTGGCCGATCGCTGATCATCCCAATCGTCGATCACTCGATCGATCGTCGATCACCTTGGCCGATCGCTGATCACCTTCGTCGATCACCTTGGTCGATCACTTTGGCCGATCGCTGATCTCCCCGATCGCCGATCGCCTAGTTGTGATTTTCGATCTGGTTATTGTTATATTCGATCCCTCTATTGTGAAATTCGATCCCCTTATTGTGATATTCGATCTCGTTGTCGTGATAATCGATCTCGCTGTAGTGATTTTCGATCTCGACATCCCGCAACTTAACAGCCAATCATTCCTTCTCAGCGATTTGTCGTAATTTGCGATCACTCCACCCAACGATCTCCTCCATTGTTTCGATCCGCTTTGCCGCAGCAACGATCGCCCAAATTGTCTTGGCCTGCTTTACCACAGCAGTCTCGGATAGTGTGTATCTCGTTAGCAAAGTTCACGCATCACATGGCTGCTGACTGAAATGTATCAATGTGTAACATTTATTGTGATCAGCGCTTTGGTTTAGATGGCATCGTTTAGCACTTTATGACTGGTCTTAGTTGATTTTCTATAAACGTACTTATAGTCTGTACCTTAATTTTGCTAGCATTAAGTGCTTTCGCATAATGAATGTTACTTCAACTTTTTCACGATTCTTTTAGATTTTCACAGAATGAAATAACAAGGTCTATCATCTTCAGCCTTATGGCATTCTTGTGAGACGAGATGGAGCAATTTACCGCAACGCAAAGATATTTTTTGGCGAATGTAACGAGTCGCGTTTAACTTTGTTAGCTTCTTTTGAACTGCACATAGGATTAGTACAAAAATACATTTGTTGCTGCGAGCAATTTTACTTAAATCGCATTATGTCGTCTTAGCTTTAGTTGCTGTAGGTGCTTTACACTGCGCATAAATAATTTAATTTTTGTGCTGTAGTTACAGCACTTGTACTTTTTTGATAAATTCGAAGTTTGCTGCGCTCTGGTCGACGAATTTTCACATTAACTATGATGAGAGGAGGCTGTTTTACTTTCATGCGCTACATTAATAGGTGGACTGAATGCTTATATTTACATTATGCAACCAACTTACAGAATCACATCGTAGTATAGTACCTAAAGAACTTCGCGGCCACGTACGCACAGCAGAAGGTCGATTTAAGTGTTGAGAAGATTTTATCACAGGCTTTGCAGTCGAATCTGTTTGAGTGCAAGACATATGCGGTTTAAGTGCGGCTACATCTGATCGCGTGATGTAAGCGTGACAGATGGTGTCAGACGCAACGTAGATGTAAGCTGATAAGATAGGACTATGGAATTGCGACATCATACACTATCGTGGTCGACTTATAAATCCGTTCATGTTAATTTTGTAGTGTTATTAAACTAGAATGGTCAAAGCAAATGCGTTTTCTTCTAATACTATTATCATTTACAGACCTTGCAACAACATTAATCATCCAAGCTATAAAAAAGGGGTATCTAAAGGAGAAAGCATATTTGGAATAGCACACATAACTTTATTTCATGATCATTCAATATTGGTAAGAAGTATGTTCATCAGTTAATGTTCATAGTAATAAAATCTCATCACATATTGCGATCAAAATTATTGGTGGATAGCATAGCCAATATCATACTGGAGCTGAGTACTACACACCTCAAGGGGTATCGTTGCTTACAAATTTTTTTGAAACGAATATCTGCTATCTTAGTAGCTCTATTGGTCGGGAGACTCTTCATTTTAATTTTTTTGTCTCGAATCAAATGATACGATGTGTCCAATGTTTTTATATATCTTCAACAAGAATATGTAAAAATGGATTGCTACTACATATGTGTAATTTTTTACTTGGCAAAGAAAATGTGCCACATTATACAATCTCAGAAGGGCAACAAAGTGTCCAGAATAGTCTTCATGTTGACGAAAAGTGGCATATTTAATGGAGAAGCTGATATGCATTGTCATCATTGTCGTATAGCGCTGCAGTCATACACCACAGCAAAAAAAGTAAGACGACTTCTGTTTTTAATCTTAAGACCCAAAAGCGACTTTTAGACTGCATATGCCAACTCATCGTAGTTGCGAGGCGCCACTTCGTGCTACAGCGTTTAAATTAGACGTAACTAGCCTTGTGCATGATGTAATATTTAAAATATATGGAGGCTAGCAATATACGTAGGGTATGGCACAGCAGGCGGCAAGCTTTACTCCTCCCAACTAGTCATCTTTCTCGACGTCTGATTGCGCATTGTCCTGTTGTAAGTATATGACTCCTCGTTGGCTGTGGCGAAATAACTTTTCAGCCATCGAAGGGATGGCATTTCCAGGAACATAACAAAGTGCTTCGCTCTCCTCGAGCCATACAAAGGATTGACCTCATTAGCTTAAACTGGAAAAATTTTGCTGGCTCGGGCTGCGTTACCGTATGCAATAAGAATTAATGAAATTTCAGTTTTATATTAAACCAAGTACCATTTTACAGCGTCCTTTTTCAGCCGGGCGTTTTCTGCGAAGATATCACCATAGCGATAATCGGCAGCTCCTTTCTTCTCTAACATTACACATGACATCAAATGTAAATGGTGCACCCGTTTAAGATACTAAAATTACAAAAGACATACTAGAGTGGCGTCAACTGTTTAGGAGACAAGTTTATTCGTCAAACCTCTTGTGCTATGTAAAACCATTTCTATTTAGATAAATTTTGTCGTGCATAGGGGAATAGAACAATTTTGACTCTTCGAAAATCAAATGATAATAGCCATTTGCGCGCGCTTGCTTTCCTCTGCATCAGGGGTTTCTTGTAATTGGTCGTCGCCAAAATGTCGTTGCGCTATCACATTCTACAGAGCGCAAATTCTGACATCCCTTGCGGAGCTAAAGAGAGCAGTGCATAATGCTTTGCTATGGCGCGGCCTCCATCTAGATTTGTGAAAAGCACAAAAATTGATCATTTTCTTGCCTTTCCTATCCTAAATTTGGATATTATATGTAATTAGCCGGCCATAGTGTCGCGGTCACGCTCTCTACCCTCAAATTTTGACTTCACAGAACATTCATATGTTAGCGCCACTAATCCGTTTGTACTCTGTTATGCGTGTGGTAGTAGGATGCAGTAAATGGACTATAGGATTTGGCTTCGCACTTTTGTCTTCTCTTCTACCTGCTGTCTTCTTTATACTTATACACACCGCTCAACGTGCCAACCCGCCTTTCTGCCTCCTATTTAGACAGGCTACGCTAATCATACATTAATATTGAATTGCCAAGCTATCGAAAAGCAATCATACGCTTTTCTACACTCTCCTTTGAGTGCGTCTACATTTTCATTATAAATTTGTTTCTTCTCCGACCTGAAGCTCTATTGATAGCCCTCAACTGACGTAAAAGAGGTCGCGTAGTTCAACAATCTTCATCGCATCCAATTAACGTCTTTGTTATCATGTCGACCAGCCTCGTCTCTGACCTGCGAAGCTCGCGGCAACAGTGCCGTACCGAGAAAAGTTGCACAGAAATTTGTACTGCGGATTGACGTGATCTGCCTTGTGCAACGAAGCCTCTCCCCTGATCTGGCTGATAGCTGCCTGATTGTCCACGTGCATCCGAATCGACAGCGCTGCTCTGTACCCACCTGGTGCAGTATCTCGCACAAGACCTCGCCCGCGGCGAAGATTTCGTCCTCAAATGTATACTGAGGCACATCACCCTGTTCCGCACGCTCCAGATGATTGCCATGCCGTTCAGGCGCAGTGTCAAAACCGTCATCAAATTCTTGGCCGCCTTGTCGGCAACAAAGCCAGTGTCGCTGAACTTCTCTGGATGTGGCGTCGTGCCGCTTTCTAGAGCTGACACCATCGCAACTTTCATCGTCGCTACTTTTTTAGGCTGTGTGCAATGCGCTTTGTTAGCATTTTGCTCAACAAATGCGGGAATTTGGCTAGCCGCACCGCACTATGGACGGCAAATGAGATGTCCAGGCTCGTTTGACGTGCCGGAGGAGCAATCCATCAGGATGTTGGAGCTCGCGCATGGTCGTTCCTGCCCGTACGCTTACCGTATACATTAAATTTGCCTTGTCTACTTCGATCTCGTATAAGTTATCGCCAATCGCCGTGCACTTCGAATTTGCGTCAGCCAGCCCATTGTCGTGCAGAAGATCACCTATAGACACTTCTTTATTTACAGTATAGCCATCTTCATTGTTGAGCTCTACGCGCATCCTCATAAACTATCTCACGCGTCCAATTTTTTAATGAAGACCGATAAAAAGCTGTCAAATAACCTCTAGACTGCTGTCTCGGTCGTCACTTTGACGAGTAGAACGTCTACATAGACATCTAGGACGATGAGGTATATGCTGTACCGCTTCCGGTGCATACACATGTCGCTTTTGCAGCGGGCAAAACCGGCGTCAGACATCTTGGCACGCAGAAGCTGGCTTCACATTATTAGTAAATTCTTGACTTCTAGAGGCTCTAACGCAGCTCTTAAAGCAATTTTGTGCTCCAGCGTCTTGCGTACGTAGAGCATCCCCTGACATGCGCGTTCCTCGCGGCAGCAGCAGTAAGACTTACAGGTAAGACTTCTTGTGCGCCCTTGTGTGCGCGGTATTACCGTGATTGATAGACATCACTCATAGTGTTAAGCGCCAGGATCATTTAAATGTTGACAGTTCCACTACAGCGGCGACTGAAGCGTGCAGTCAATGCCAAGCACCTGCTCGTTGCTGCAACCTACAAGACGCGCCTCTAGTCTCTTAGGGTCCTTACATGCGTTCGTCTTGACCTCGGAGACAAAGCTGGTGTGCAGACCACTTGTCCCAGGCGCTCGCTTGTAGAATGCCCACATACCATTTTCCTGAAGCGTGACCACCTACCTTTCGATCCTCACCGCTCCCTCCCGCGACGTCAGCGATCTCTGCACTCGCTCCCCTTCGGCTGGTCGTTTCTTAATCTTTGCCCACTCGTTGTTTCGTGTCCTGCCCGAGCTGGAGCTGCGGGTTATGCATGCTGAAAAGCGTGTTGATGTCCTTGACGTGTTGCATCACGATCACCTCGCTCTCTATCGAGGTAAGCATCTTGGAGCCCTTTGTTTTGTTGCTGAAGCCGACGATGATGCCGCGCTGCATCCTGTTCTGCATGGAGTTCATACGCGGGTCGCAATACAAGCTACAGGAAAACCCAATGAGTTCGATGCTGCGCAGATACAGCACTTTGCCGTTCAGCACCTCGATTGGCGACGCAGGTTTCATTTTTGCCCGATTCGTACTCCGACATAGTAAACGCCCGGCTTATTGCACCGCGGTCCCTACAGAACTACAGCGGCATCTTGCATGCGAACATCTGCCGAGCACGAGGTTCAACACCAGCATGTGTATCATCTGTGCCTTGCTACATGAATTTTGGTTCATCTCCTTGCTGATCTGCTGCGTGACGCCTTCCCACTGCGCAAGACATCCATGTTAGTGTTTTTGCCACCCCCGTCTGTGCGCAATTTTATATATTGAAGCCAAAGAAATTATCGACGTATTCATGAAATTTTTTGAACTATTTCGACGCTGCGTCCTCCGCAAGGAACACGCAGCAGCATTTCGAACTGTGGTCGATGCATTATCAGGTATCCATTTATGAGTCGCTTCTGCGGATTCGCCGATCCTAGAGAGTTCAAGCAGATGATGCCGCCGATTTTGCCGATGGGCAGGTTGTCGACGCTGTCTTGTTAAGGCTGTGTGCTGAGCGCCTGCTTTCTCATGAGTCATGACACACAAGCCATGTGCTTGTTGCTGATAAGTCGGATGCTAGATGCGGGGTCACGGGCCATGCACTCTATTAAGTCAAATGCAACGTGACCGAGTCGCTAGTAGAAGTGCAGCAGCGTGTCTTCTTGCACCTCTACTATACCCGATTATGTCGCGTGTACGTTGAGCGCAGCCATGATCGATTCGGCAGAGATCTGCCTTCTCGGCGCCGCCGTTGTCTCTTATTGCAGCATTTTGCTGTTGTTCGTGACGTCAAGCGTGACTGCAGCGCCGCTTTGTCCAACCAGCGTGCGCTTGCCGCCGTCGTACACGAGACAGTAGCGTTCGCTTTCTGACTTTCGATAAAACTAGATGTGCCCTGCCATACAGGCGCGAGGTAAACTTCTGTGGGTTTCTTCGTCACTTTCATCACCGCACGAGAGGACTTTGCTGTTCATGCTGCCGGCGTGCTACGCTAGCAGCGTTTTTATATTGTCCATTGTGCTCTGATGTCTGCAAGCTGTCGAGTAGAAACAGCGACTTTTCACTTAAGAAATGTCGACTAGCGCTGCTGTCGAGAATCTTGCCGTCTCATCGATACAAGCATCGTCGTTCGCTGCGTGCGCAAAGCCGATCGAGCCGACTGCAGCCGATTCCATTCTGTCCGTGCCACTCGCAACAGACCTCCCAAGCGCAAGATCTTCTTCTCTTTCCAGCCCTTGTGCTGCTTTGTGTGAACACTGGGTGTTATTTTGGTCAGTTCAAGCATCATGCTGCTCCCTCCGTTCGCGTCGTTAGCTTTGTCGTCGTGTTTGAACCTAGCCTAGCATTCGACTACGACGCGTCTCGATTTTCTGCACCAAAAGAACGTTCGAGTTTACAGGCGCTTAGCCCCAACGCGAGCCGCAACGACTTTGCGTCCGATAGCGCCACTGCTGAGCTCAATCGACTGAGCGAAGTGCGCGAGGTACTCCGAGTGCCATAAGACGTCAAGTATCTTTTAATTTTTGTCTATCGAACATGACGTTCATCAGCTTCTGAGACGTCCGTGAACGATGTTATCAAGAACAAGCAAGTCTGCGCCACCACGAGCGTCAATGACCACGACCATGCACAGGTATTGGTTGACTCGGGTAAGATTTGCGTCCTTCTTCTTAACAAAAATCTTCACTGCCTGACCTGCCTTGATCTTCATCTTAAAAGTCGCATAAAGCTGGGTCATCACGTGCTCGAGCGTTGGCTGCTGGATCCGCCAGACATCCACATGTTTTATCAGAATGTCTTCGCAGTGAACACCAGAAAGTGGCCGAGTAGTTTCAATTTGAAATCTTCTATTTACGCCAAGCCAAACGACTCCTCACCGAGGTCTACTGTGCACAGGAAGGTACGCCCTCAGTCTTAAAATCCGCTGCTGAAACCTTTGTACATCTCGTTCCCATCGAACTTCCGTATCGCCAGATTGCCCTGACTCGCGCGCGGCGTCTCATGAATAATTGCGCTCTACCGCGGCGAGGTCGGGGGAGCCTCAGGTAGAGTTCACGAGCGATACTATGGCGACACTTGACCATGCGTTGGTGACAGTAATTCAAGCATCGACTCTATAGCGCTGATTGTGCTTACGCACGTTTGCGGGTCGCTGTACCATGCTCGATCAATCCAAGCGCGTATTTTGTTATAGGTCGGCCGTGCATGTTCGCCTCCAGTGCAGAGGATAACATCCCGATCTCGACCGCGCCAAGAATCCTATCTCATTTTTTGCAAAAGATCTTTAAAGACTCCATAGTTCCACTTCTTACAGAATACTGTAGGAACAGGTGCATCATACCAGTGCGTTTAAGGTCCGTGGTATTCCTGATAGGCTTTGGGTTTGGTTCAAATGTCGACAATGGGAGCATTACGACCAAGCTCACACTGGAATGTACTGTCCAATCTAATGCGGGCAATCAAAACTAATTCATAAGGGAGCAAAATTTTTATTGGTATGTTGTCGATGGAATGGTACAAAGAAGCGTCTCGTTGAGGCATCGGTGAATAGATAATAAATGTGATTCAGATTTGCCATCATCGATAGAGGTGTTGGCCTTTTTAAGCTTTTATTCATGTGTCAACCAAGACAATCGGCAGCCTGTATTGCATTACCAGCCAGCATCGGTATAAAATACTATTATAAATAGAGTTTGATATGGGGTTTTCTCGACTTGTAGTCACCGTGTGAATGCCTTTACTGGAGCTACACAGCTCTTAGTCAGAGAAACGCTTAAGGATCTAGAAGTTACTTAGATCTACGGAACTAAGGTTCTATTAATACAAAGAGTCCTTAGTTCTTAGAACCACTCAATAAAGACTCGGAGAGTCTTTAAGCTCGTAGAGCTTCTAGGCTTGGTTTAATGGACTAATAACGATTTTTTAAAAATTGTACTCATAATGTGCTCTAGAGTATACGCCACAACCTGGCTCTTACTCGTAACGATCTACTGACGTCAAAACTATACATGTGTCAATTAAAAATTCAAAGGGGATCAAACCTTCATTTCAAAGTTTTTATCTGTAATAATTATCATTAAACTACCTAACACTAAGCTTAATTAATTCGCATGGTAAATTTGGGTTTATCAAAGATTGATGTATAATCCATTTATATGTCGTTAACGGATAAATGAGGTTATTAACCACATCAGTTGTGGCTGATAAAGGTTTAATTTTATATCACACACACAAGATGTATTTCTTTAGGGCGGTATGGGTCGTGTGACCCTGTCACACACTTCTTCATGCCAAACTGAGGTTGCCAATTTACGTCAATCGAATCATTATCTCATCGAGGTCATTGTAAAAATTAATTTCACGATTGTTCATCGCTTCAGACAAGGCAAAGCAACGAGTCTTCGGCTCTTACCTCCGCGTATGGCATTGAAGAGGAACTGAACTGTGGTAGCGATATCGCGTCCAAATTCGGCACGCCCGTGAAAGATGACCGGCCAGCCAAATTACCCAATCCACATCCCCAACATAAGCCATGGATGCTCTAACAGCTCTGCACACGACACTCGGTATGGATCACCACTCATCCCGACCCGCTCAACGAAAAGCAGGAGTAGGTGCTCAAACACCGGGAAGGCGCTCAGCGCAGAACTTAGAACACTTCGACATGCAAAAGTCAACTTGACTATGTTTTACGCCCCTTAATTGAAGGGAAAGTCTCCAAAGAAAGACTGGCCAATCATTGGCATTTTAGACATTAGGTCCGTTGGCCAATACGCCTGACGAGCTTGAGGTGCGTAAGTTTTTACGCGAGAGGTACCTGGTGCCAACTATATTAACTTAAGGTCAGTATAAGGCAAGGCTTATGAAGCTGGGTAATATTGTGCCATTCTCACAAGTCAGGGATGTCCCCGTTTTTCTCATCAAAGGAAAGCTGCCCGATGAGGAGGACATCTCGTTTGTTCGCTGAATGCATAGAGCAGTACACTCATAGAGCAAGGTGGTTCAAGATTCAGCGGTGATAGGGCAGACTTACATGTCGAACGGATACTTATTTATGACTACGCCAAGTTGAAGGCCAGGTGGCTGTTGCGGGCGGCGTTCCGCCCGCGCTACAGTCCGGCTGTGCTGGTAACTGCGAGTCCACATCAGGTTTCGGCCATGAACCCGCCTGCCCTTACCATTACTGATTAAAGCGTCCGAGGTTGCGCATATACCCCAATCATGGCAGTCAATTAATTTCACGGCACACGAACAATCTTGCCGTAGAATATCTTATACTCTTATCAGCTATCGGACTCAGGGTACTCTCTTCACTTCACCAGATACTGGTATCGGTGATGACGAAAATGTCATTGCAGTAGCCTCTCCACTTGAAAATTGTGGGTTACCATTATTTTATAGCGATGCCGGCGGCGGTCGGTGTGTAGATCGCTGCCCATTATATCTCGTTCATTAAGTGAACAGTCTTCGGGAACTTAGAGTCAGAACCAGCGCACGCTTAAAGCAATACAAGCTTGCTTGTAGATGCTTGACACGAATCAGAAAATAACGAAGGCTCTACTTTGCCTCATAATTTGTATACAGTAGTTGACTTCAGGACACGATCAGCTGCATTCCAGTGCATCTTTCCATGCCTTTAACAGTGTTTTGCAAGTACAATCAGGTGGTAGACGTGAATGATCAAGAGACTGTATTCGAGTTGCTCGTCAAATGTCGACGCAGAGATCAGCCACTGCCCTTGCGAACGCTTGACATTAGAGATGAACATTTTGTCGATTTTTCCACTCGTGAGCCTAGTGATTTATTCCGTTACGTGCTTTGTTAGATAGACCCTTCTTTTCAGGGTGTTTTTTCGTCCACAAACCCATATAACTAGTGCATGTAACGGGGTGAATCGTTACATAACAATTTATAAGAAATTGTTAATAGAATATAACTATAAGAGTTATATTCTCAGAATATTGTCATAAGGACAATATTCTGTAGCACTTCCAAGTAGTTCCTAATTGGTTGATATAGGCCATTATATC